CCATCAACTCTTCAAACGTACCACTTTTCACCACTCGGATCTCCAATGGCCCGATTGAATTGCACTCAACCCGACCCTGTCTGTACACAGCGTTCAATGATTCCTCCATAGCCAAGCAACATTGCTCCATCACCTCCTCCCTTGGGTAATTCATTGGATCCTTCACTAACAACTCCCAGAATACCACATAATGACCCGGGATGGTTTCGGTATCCGCACAGCTCGTGTACTCAACCACACTCGTGTTGAACTTCTTCAACAATTTGGACGCGTTTTCAATGGCGGATTGTAGTTCAGCCTCGTTAGTCTTGTCGGATTCGATGCTTAGCAACACGTCTTTTCGTCTCACGAAATGGAACTGCGGTGCAGAGTTGTGAAACCCTGTGACACGCAGTATGTCACCCACACAGTATCTGTAAAGACCTGCGTGGGTGGTGATCACGAGTTCATAATCCTTCCCCTATTTCCACATTTGCTAGGTCAACTACATTGTTGGTTGACCCTGAATGTGTATTATGGAGTATGAACTCGAAATATGCCATGTTTGGCATGATTGTGTAGGACACTTCCGATGGTTTACACAACGGGTTAAGGTTAATCCCAAAGTAACACTCGGAAGAAGCATACATGGTGCAAACTTTCGGTAACCCGCCACTATAATAATCTAGGGTTGGAATGTATTGAGCCATTGCACCGGTCACAATTACTTCTAGGTATTTGACATTTGGCCAGATTCGAACGATAATTCTTTCCCAATTCTCCTTTGAGCATTCGGATTCGATAACATTTGCAAGATCCGAATCGGGTCTCAGAGCCATACATTGTCTGATATCCGGATCAGATACTTTCTCGTTGAGAGTTCCGGTCCGAATATCATGACAAAGTTCCTTCCAGTTCAGTTGAAGGAACCGAATGGCTCGGAGTAAACTCGAAGCAAATATTGCTCCGATACGGAGCACTTCTTTGCGGTCATACAGACCGCAAAGCATCTGAGCATACATGCTTTGGAAGGAATGGGGGCAAAGAATCGCCTCGTTTGGGCTGGTGTAGACATTGTAAGGGTCGAAGGGTCGGGTTTTGAAATGATCACTTTTGTAGTAGCTTGTGAGAACGGGTCGGGCGAGTAACCCACCCGGAGTCTTTGTTTCAGATTTGACGAATAGAAAGTATAAAGCTTTTCCCTTGTCTAAACCTGGTATGTACCTGTCAATGAAATCTTTAGTCAGTCGGTGGTGGCGACGGAGACACGTGGATTGTAGGCGGTGGTGGTGCATTTTATGTACAACTCTTCATGCATACAGTACTAGATAGCGTGAGAAAATACGTACAAGTTCATTACAGGCATGAGAAGGCTGTAAAGCAGTTGACGTCGATCCAAATCTTCGTGAATCGTCGGCATGAGCTTTCTTTCACCGGCGGAAGTACCAGAACTGTTTGAAAAGATGATCATGCGATAAAATCGTTAAATTCAATCAATATAATCTGATAAACCATGGATTGGGAACTAACCTGGTGAGAAATTCAGAAATCGGATGAGCTGATAAAATGGGAGAGCGATCACCATCGGCGATGCGTTGAATGATAGGTTGCAGGTCGTCGTAAGTGACTATCGGAATCTTCGACTTGAAAGTTTCACGGTCGGTGGCTCCGTCGAGATTGTAAAGCCGGAGATATTCTGTGTCGGCGTTCCGGCTGAGTATCTCAGCCAAAACGTTCGCCTGAACTTTGTCTGTGTTTCTCGTCATCTTCTCAATGAACTGAATCGCTTCCTTATGTTTCTCCGGCGCCGGTGAAGCGGAAGACGATCTCTGAACATTAGTCGCCATTTCGATTTTGTGTTTGATTGTTTGACACGGGATTTTGTGCTGAAGAGAAATGGAGAGTTTATATAGGATGGCTAGTGGGTCCATGGGGTCACGTGACATGTCACGTGGGGCCCACGAGATATTGTAGTCAAAGGGGAATATTGTGAATGTAATGCTGGGAAAACGATGGGCCGCTTTAGGTCACGTGACGCTGAACTTCACGGCCATCTCCTTATGAAATTGTTGCCGGTGATGATGACTTATTATGGCCGGCAAATTTGTCATTTTCCTCCGTCGCAAACGTAGCACGTGAGAAATCCAAGCATCATTTGGATCAATATTTTTGTCCCTCTCTAATTTTATATTTTATAAAAAATTAAACAAAGAAAAGTATAAAAAATAAATAGCTAAAAATTTAATAATTACATAAGCATAATACTCTATTATTTAAAATACCTATATTTTGATCCTCCAAAATTAAACTAAAATAAAATATTAATTAAAAGACGAATGGTAAAAAAACATTCATTGAAAGACAATAATTTAGGCATTGGTGGACGGATATACTATTTGATATTATCTTTAAGAATTGCACATGTGGTGAGGAAATGTTTTATTATAAAGCATTCTATATTTATTGTGTGCCTCAAGCAAATATTAGCTTCTAATTGATCGTTTGGACGTTGATTCAACTTGTTTAACTTCTATTTCATGTTCTTTCATTTTGAATTAATTTGCTGGACAAATAAAGTACTAGATTAACAAATATAGAAGAAGGTTGAAAGAGATGTATAATTATGAAGATATGGAATCGTATTTATATAAACAAAAAGTATACATATATTTTTCAAAGAATTTTCTAGTAAGACACATATAAAAAACATTAATTGAAGTATTAATTATAACAAATATTACCATAACTAAATGTGTGATAAACATTATTTATATGTAATAGTACCATAATTAAATGTAAAATACATTATTATAAAAAGATCATTTAATATATATATATATATAATATATATATATAGATATATATATATAGATATATATATATAGATGTTGTGTGTGTGTGTGTGTGTGTGTGTGTGTGTGTGTGTCATGCTGCAAGAAGGTACTAAAGTTGCGAAAGCTGATAGAGGATATTATTGTGACATCCGCCTAAAATGGATTCGGGTCAACCCAACCCAATTGGAAATTTAATAAACCCTACTCAAGATTACTTGACGCTAATAGGATCAAAACCCATACAATACGATATAACTTGACGTTAATAGCAACATAGTATTGTACAACGTTATAACTATAATCAAAGTAAATTATGATACCAGATTAAATCAAATCAAAGTATAATGCTCTAAGTAAATTAAAAGAATCAAACTTGAATTCTCTAATTAAACTTCAAATCAAAGTAGATTGTTATAATCAAATAATAACCTATCTTTTATAAAACTCCATTTTTATAAACTTTACATTAAATTTTATAAAACTCTATTTTTTATAAACTTTACTTTAAATTTTATAAAACTCTTATATTAATTATGTAAAAGATGCTTGTGTTAGTGGGAATTATGAAGACCACCAAAAGCAAAAAGATTATTCCCATGGTCTCCCACTCACACCTCCCATCCACTTTCCTTTTCTTTTTCTCCCAACACATTATTCTCTTCACCACTTAAATCTTCTCTATTCTTTCTTCTCTCACTCTCAATCTCGAAACTTTCCTCCAAGAATACTCATATTCCATCCAAGAACAATCTATTATACTCAAATCTTCATCCCTCTTGAAGCATTCATCAAGGTATGTTGTTAAAAGTTTCAAATTCATACAAGAAACAATTAAATCCACCAAAATATCTAAAACTCATTTTTTGCATAAACCTGATTTTTCTCAGAATACCATCAATAAAATAAGAAGTTCTGGAAATTTTCAGAAAATAACTTATTTTTATTGAATTATCATAATTATTGCAATAAAGTAGGGCAATAATTCACATAAAATACTTGTTGCATTCAATAAATTCTGAGAAAATTCTGGGATGGCCTGTATACTGATTAAACGTGATATATGAAGTTTCATGCATTTATATTATTTTACTATTATTTATGATTTTATTGATTAATTAATAATGAAATATATAAAAAATACTTCCCATAGTCACAAATATCTGAAACTTATACAATGGGCTCTACATCATGTTATAAAACTATGGTTAATTTTACAGATTTTTTGAGAATCATTTACTATTTTTCCCGAATTTTGTGTTGTTTAATCATTAAAATATTAAAATAAATACTAAAAACAGTTCAGAAAAATATACAAATTTTACAGTAATTCATATTGTATGAAATAATGATTTCCTAATAATTTCATAATTTTTCAATACTGTTTACTATTTAAAACTATTTTCCTAAGTATTTAAGCATGTAAAAATGCATTTTAATGATTATTTCATATAAATAATTGTTAAAATCTGTAAATAATTATAATTGGGCAAATTATTATTTTAATAAGAAATTATTGAAATCTGGCCTAAATTGAAAATATAAATTAATTATGCAAAGTAAGTAATTCAATTTAAAATTCATTTAACAAATAAATACTTTAATATTATAATCAAAATGAATTATTGTTAATTCATCTAATATAAGAATATGTGTCTAACTATTTATTAATACTCCATTCTCGTTTAACAGTTTCTAAACCAAAACTATTAATTATATTAGGTTCTACGCCATTTTGACCCGAATCGTCTATCGTACGACACACGCATTTCGTTTTGGGACTAATGTGAGTAATCTACCCCATATTTTATAATTTTCAATACTTTTGGGGTGTATCATGTGGTTCTAATATGTTCCAACTTCATTTTATTTTTTTTTATCACAATTGAGACATTGTTGGGACATTTATACGTGAGTCATTAATTGTATAACTATTGTTTGTTTACGCTACATGTACTTGTAGTGCATTATCATTTTTAGTCTAATCTCCATGACTATGCCCGTATTCTTGAGGTACGTTATGGACAATAATAGCACTATTGGGTTGACCACCCCGCCTTGGGACGCTAAGGTGATTGATCACACGTGGTTGAGTGTGTATGATGATTAGATGCTCCATCCTATATATATTTATATATATACATATGTATATATATAGGGTGAGGACTTATTGTTGTTGTTATCAATTGTTAATCAATTTTTGACTTATAAACCGTTATCTCAAGTACAATTGTTTGGCGACTTCAAAAGAAAACAGATTTCAAATTATAAATGTTTCAACTTCACAATTTTCTCTACTAAAATTTGATTACTCACCAACTCTCGTAGTTGACCTGTTTTTACCCATGATGCAGATTTGAAGAATGAAGAATGATGAAAAATAGGTTGTGCCTTAGAAATCCACAAGACAATTTAAATTTGATGTAATAAATGTGGTTTGCATTTGTATTTGTACTTGTATGTTGTGGATCTTGTTTGCATACTTAGTACTTAATTGAATCTAATCACATTATAACCTAGTTGTCATGAGACTTTGAACAATATATCACGCCTTGATCGATTCCGACAAGGATCGGGGTGTGACAATTATGGACATCAATAAAGACAATTTGATCAGCCCCAAAATAATCAAGACTGAGGATAGAATCCAAACAACAATTATCAGCAAAAACTCCAGTTTCAGCATCAGTATGCTTTTCAACAACAGTCTGGATTTCAACAACAACATTAATAACAATGTGGCTTTCAACAACAACGTGTTTAACATCAGACAGACAGTTCCACATTGTCCCTAAAAGTCATAGTCAAAAGCTTAGCCACAAGTATCCACACTTTTGAAAACGAGACAAGGGAAAGTATATAAAATCTGGAACAACAAATGCTCAACTTGCAACTTCCATTAGCAGACTATAATCTTGAAACACCGCTCTTTTTGTTTTATACTTTTAAAACCATTTAAATGACTTGTTAAAGTAAAAAATCATCACTTGCAAATCCGGTCTTAAAGTCTTAAAACTCTTAGCAAAACAATTTAAATATCATACATAAGATAAGTAACCACTACATCACTATCACCTTCAAAATGTCCTGAATCCTCTAGACCTTATTTGTTACTAGAACCTGAATACATGCTAAAAAGTAGTAGGTTAGGCATTGGGATTGCCTAGTGATAATACTGGGACTTCACTACGTTTGTAGTCAAGGATTAACTCAAACACTGACCTATGACAAATTCTCCAAAATATTTTCAATACACATAACTCTTTATTTCAAAACTCTAGATAGCATCTTTGAAGTTTTCTGAAAATCATTACTCTTAACTCTTCAACGTTTAACATATAAAAACATTTAATTTCATCATAATAGAAATAATGTAATGCAACATGCAACTACACCCATTCCCGTTCCTCTCTTTATCCCATTCACAGTTCTCTTTTTGATAGCAATGAAGTCTATAACATAGTTAGCACATAGCACATTCTATCATGATTTCTCACCTTTCCTCTTAGTCCCTTAATGGGTACGGATGAGCTATCAATTCACCAGTCATGTACAAGAGGTAGCTAGCCTCTTGTACAAGTGCACATGTATAGAATACCACATTACACCTTTGGTCTCCTTATTGTCTTTTTGCTATGGACTTTGGAGGGACACACAAGTCATTTCCGTTTCCTACATGAATGGATAAACATTCATGCTAAAACTCCTTTATCCTTTTCAAGCTCCTTTCTTTTTTCAAACTCTTCAAATCCAATGATGGCGATTAATTTAATTATACATGATAGATTCAATAATGATTTTGATGTTAGAAATTACATTCTTCAATGAACCAGCTCGAATTTGGTTTTGATGGATTTTTGGTTGAGAGGTTGAGCTTCAAGCGTCATTAATGGTGGAATGACTTACAAGTAGATGAGCACATAAATAACTCCTTTCTCTTTTTCAAACTCTTTTACAAAACCACTTAGCTCCTTTCTCTTTCTCATGCTAAAAACTGTTGGATTAGGTGTCTAAGC